CTCATTTCTTCCCGGGTCCCGTCCAGAGACCTAATGTCAGAAATGGCATCATGTCATTTTTAACTGAGTAATTTCAGAAAAAAATACACATATTTTACATAGATAAAGGCCTTTGTAAGGTGTGGGGTGTACTCATGAGAACATTTTTTTGTATTCTTTTAAGGCATGAGTATATTGGAATATTTTCCAATCAATCCTAGGGCTCCAACTACAACAGGGATTGTTGATGTTCATACTTTTGAGATTTCAATTTCAACGTCCTTGTATTTTCAAATCTTTTTGAAGGTATTCAAACATACATTTCACTCTGCAGGGACTGTCATATCAATAAGGAGGATTTTCTTTTCTTTGCAGTCTCTAATAATGAAGTCTGAGCAGTTATCCTTGATAGTTCTGTCTGTAGGTATTGTGAAGTATCATAAAAGTGTTATAATGGTGGTGTTCATACCAGTTTCTTTCAGTTTTCTTTCCGTAGAAGTTGCAGATTTTCAAGTTCATATATTGGTCCACTCTGTGTCAGTCGGTGTCAATACCGTGCAACCTGATCAGTTGGTCATTTGTTTCTGGATATTTATCACAGAATCTGCATTATGGGGTAACACAATCTTTCTGTGTGTGTGCTTAATAATTTCTAGTTAACAAGCATTGATTCTGTGCAGCAAGAATAAAAATAAAAAAGAACTTTAGTTACAACTTTTAATGCTGCACTATGTAATCACTGATGTGTACGGGGCTTTTGTCTATATCGGCTTGTTTGGTACGGGCAGAGTATTGACCGTGAAGCGGTTTATCTTACCATTCGTAACATTTTCTTTTGCTTTCTTCTTTAAATATTTTGCAGCTTCAGAAAGTGTATTGTGCTTTACTTGTATTTTTCCACCCATTTGAAACTCCAATATTATTATTATTATTATTATTATTATTATTATTATTATTATTATTATTTGATATCCACTCCAAATAATTTACATTATTTACATTGTTCATACTGTTGTCATGTTCACTACGTTTTGACCGTTGTACGCTCCGGCCTTCTTCAAATGATTGGAATTTCATGACAGTAAAGATGAGGACAAGAGTCCGAATAATGTAAATTATTGTAATACCTCATCTTAGAAATCTCGACAGATATCCTCTCTACATCTTAGATGTTTCAGTCTGGTGATGATAATCGTAACTAAGCACCTACCCGCAGCTTAGTAACACAACACTTTCCTCAGCATATGAGCTGTTCCAAGCATTGCTGCCACCCGCTCGCACCCGAAGCTCTCACGTACCACCAAGGAGTCCTGTGAGGCAGAAATTTTCCTGGAAATATTATTATTAATAGTAGTTTGTTTCGAATTTGCTTGTTTTGTTCTAGCTACCTCCACGATCCAACAGGAAACCTAAAAGAACCGCTTGTCAACAGATCATGATTATTGGTACTGTTGGTTGGATATGCAGCAGACATTACCAATATCTTTTTTTCCTAAATTGTACAATGTCATTGGAACGTATATAGGAGTTTCTATATTCATTAAAAATTGGTAGGTGTATGAACAACAAAAAAAAGATGTACAGTTAAATTGTTTAAATAGATTAAATCGAGAATGCGAAAGAATACAATTATGACAGGGACAGACAGATGGACACGATTTGGTGAGTGATTTAAAGTCAATCTTCGATGTATAACCAACATTGTATATTTCAATATATAAATAATGTATAACATTGTATATTTCGATATATAAATAATATATACTGATAACTATATATAAAGGCATCATTTTACTAAATTACCCTGGTAAATCTTTTTTCTTTGATACATATATATATGTGTGTGTGTAATATTTTCTGTTTATACGCTATTTTTAGAGATATAATTTACTGAGGCAAATGCTCTGTTTTTTTTTTTGTGTTTTTTTAATTAAACTCTATTATTCACATTTACCGGTTTGAATGTTTGAGAAAATTCGTAGAAAATATACGCTTCTCCGACAGGAATCGAACCTGTAAACATTACTGGGAACCGTCATTTGCTCTGACCTGCTCTTAACCATTCAACCACAAAGAATCGTCAGTTTTGCAAATTCCGAATTACTATTTATAAAAACAAACCTTCGACGATTTTTCTCGATCGATAATATCTGTTCACAAAACATATCTTGACGTAAATAATGACATATTATGAAAATGGATTATGTCCGACAATTATTTAATATATTTTCTGTTTATAAGTTATTTTTATAGATATAATTTATTTAAGTAAATATAGTATTTTTTAATTAAATTTCTACGAAATTTCTCAAACATTAAGGCCCGTTAATATAATTAATATAGTTTAATTAGAAAACAGAACATTTACTTAAATAAATTATAACTATAAAAATAACGTATAAACAGAAAATATATTAAATAATTGTCGGACATAATCCATTTTATAATATATATATATATATATATATATATATATATATATATATATATATAGAGAGAGAGAGAGAGAGAGACAGACAGACAGAGAGAGAGAGAGACAGACAGATAGACAGACAGGCAGACAGATTACAAACATTATGTGTGCTTAATTTTATAATAATCCTTTGATGTTCACAAATATTTTTCCCTAATTTATTCAGTCAGGCATACCTAAAAAGAAAATTTACTGCCTAAATTATATATATATATATATATATATATATATATATATATATATATATATATATATATATATGGGTGGTGGAAGTGTCAATCCTCTTTTACTAAAGTCTTATTAAAAGACAACGAACAAGGCACTACGGTTAATTTTTTTATGAAATTGTTCTTATATTGAGAGAAGTAATTTTCTTCTGGATGTAAAGTGTGTTTAACTCATTATGCAGTTTATACACACACAAACACACACACACACACACACATATATATATATATATATATATATATATATATTATGAAATGGACAAAGTACGACAATTATTTAAGACATTTTTATGTTGATACATTCTGTTTATAGATACAAATATTTAAGTAAATGTTCTGTTTATAATAAACAGTATTAAACAACATTTACCGGCCTGAATGTCCGAGAAATTTTCAGAAACATTCAGGCCGATAAATGTTGTTTAATACTGTGTGTGTATGTGTGTAGGTGGGTGTGTATAAACTGCATACGGAGTTAACAACATTTACGGTCCTGAATATTTTGTCTTAAAATAATTGTCGGACTTTGTCCATTTCATAATGTGTGACGCCATTGGTTTACATTTGGATACGCTTTGAGCAGATATGAATCTACGTGAGAGATTCAAGGAAGATTGACGTTTAAAGGCAGTAAATTCGACCTTGCTAACCGAACGATCCTCTGTGGCGAAATCGGTTAAAGTCACGTCAGGCTATATGACGATTCCATATAGGATACAGGTTCGATTCCTGTCGGTGGCCGAATATTTTCTATGAAAATTTCTCCGACATTCAGGCCGGTAAATGTTGTTTAATACAGTTTCTTATAATCAGAGAATTTACTTAAATATTTGTATCTATAAAAAGAATGTATAAACATAAAAATGTCTTTATATATGCCTATATGCGTTCACTACATTGTGGTCGTGTTCATAATTGATATAATTACTAGTTGTCTATTTTTATTACTTTAACCGTTTTTTGCACACATATATATATATATATAAAACACGAATCAGAGAAAAATAAAGAGTAGGAAGATTGTGTTGCGCAAATTTTCTACGTGTGTAGATCACACAAACCTTGATAGTCTGCGTTTGCTATCCTTGCCTATAACCCCCACGACAGGTATCACTGGGAATTGCATGACAATCTCACAAGATAGACAACAATTATTTGACAAGATTAACGTCTGTCTATGAGACAAAAGGGCCGCCATTTTTACTCACTTTATTGTCTTCTTTTTTTATACGGAACTTGTGACAAATATTGACTAAGTGGAATGAGCTAAGATCGGAAATTAAAATCTAAATCACGTTTTCTCGTTGAAACCCTTTTTTTTAATATATTCACCAGCTTACTAAAGTCAGTGACAATGAAATCGTATTTTTTACTTGGAGATTCTTCCTATGTGAACATTATGATTCATGATTTTCAATAGATTAAATTGAATTATTTGAAATTGAATTACTTTTTCTTTTTTACTCAGTTCTTTATTGATTCTTTCATAGATTTAAACTTAATAAATCATTTTTTATTATCTTCAAACGCGTTCGAGTAACTGATTCTGTTATTGATATTTACTAAATTTAACCAAGATACAAAATCAAATAGGAAGAAAGTGAAGTCGACTATGGGTTTTTTTTTGTTCTCCATTTACTAGGAGAATTAGCCCTTCCTTCCTTGGACATGATAGTATTCCTGGAGCTTTAACGCTGAAATCTAGAAGAGATGCAAAGTGTGTAACTCATGCGATCACAATTCAGCATTCTTATTTCAATATATGATTCAACTAATTAGAAAAGTCAGCGATAGCAATTTGGTATGAATAAAAGTGCCCTATGTATATTTATATACCCCATTAACTCTGTCAGTTTAAGGTAATATAAATTTGAAATATCTATAACTTTATTTTCTTGCTAACACCTTGCTCCTACTGTACGTTAAACATTTGATCTATATTCCACTGCATCGTAGAGGAAGTGCTTTTTTTAACACTAATTCCTCTTAATCCATAGACGATCGTGACTCTTTTTATTTATTATTTGCATCCTAGGACTAATAGTGGATTTGTTTCCCGTTGAGCTTTTCATCTCTTAGATTGGCAATATAGCCAAGTCTACCTACTTTTTATCCCATACCTCGGGGACAAAAGCGGGATTTATGTCTTTCCTTGTGAGGGCAACAGTCTAACCCGGAATATTAATTCGCCTCGCCGGTTTCTCCGTCAATATATCTACATCACCTGGTGCACAAGATTATTACTCAAAAATAGTCTACTCAGGGTAAGGTTATATATGCACTTGTTTTGTCAGCTCATAAGTGGTGTTGTCCATCTCTCGATGATCGAGACTCGTGTTCTTATGCCAGACTTGTAAGATTGTAATACATACCAACAATGTCCTGTGATTTTATATTTAAAATTTTATAAACTATTTAATTAACATCTTCCTTCGGGATGTAACCGATAATGGCACTCCACCGATACTTTTTCTTTATTATGAAAATGAAAACGCCATGGCGTCTTGGGAAAGATAGTAACATGGCTTCCCATTTCCTTTCTCCATGGTTTTTATTCCAGTATTTCTTCTCTTAGATTATTTGCAAACCAAGCTTGGAGATCCCACTCTTTCCTGATATTTAATTCAGCTGCAGGAAGAAGAGACGTGCCTTTCCTTGCGATTACCGAGCGTTAAGTTAATGTAATAGTCTATTTTTTTATCGTGTTTATTTGGCTTCGTGTAAATTAATTAGCTAATCTAATGCAACCGTTTTCTGACAAGACTATTAGAGAAAGAGCATAAAATCTTCAATAAGAAGAAATTGAAGGTATTAATAGCAACACCTAACTAGGCCATACGTCAGTACGCCCTCATGTGTCATCACAGGGGGTTTCGGTTGTGCATATATTATCAAGAAGTACAAGGCGCAACTCTATGTAGTTTTGTAGTTCCCAAGTGACTTTAAATAATTATTTCTCTTCCATTGTCCAGTAAGAAGGATTTTTTGTATGACACCATTGCAGTTCAATATACTTAATCTGGTCTATTTGATTCTGCCATTTGCCACATGCAAAATCCTACTGTCGATGTGTTCATCGTAATCCTGGCTGGGATTGCGTGCAGTTGCTATGCCTTGCCATAGAGCGAACTGTGATTTGTTCCCAGAGACACAGATTATTTGAAACTCAAAGTTGTCTTTATCTGGTCTGTGCTGCTATTTAATCCATAGTGTGAAGAATAGATGGATTCACATGCTTCCCAAATGTATTTGAATATAAGTGAATGTAATGACTGGAATTCGAACTCGGCTCCCCAATTTCTCATTTGGAACCGCTATCCATCATACCAGCAGAAATGCACTACACGTGTATAATTAATACATTTATAATGTGATTTTCATTAGCATTTTTACATTATTCGGAAACTAATATCCGATTTAATATATGCGTGTTCATAAGCGAGCAACTTATGCAGAATCAAGCAAGAACGTTTATTTAACGATTTATTCTTATTTAAAACGCATTTATTTCATTAAGTTGAAAAGTGTTTATTCATTATCTATATTCGTCAAGCATAGCGACCACACATTAGGATTTGTTTCTCTTAATAACAATTTTTTTAATGCCATCACACTTAGAAATAAAGACGATGTCAATGAAGATCTATCATTTTCACTTAGACCAAAAGCACCATAATTCTTTTTGGCATATTATGAAACACTCATCGCTGTACTGTCATTGCTACTTATCATAGAGGAATAGAAATTACTTTAATTATATTTGAATCTAATTCGTCACCTTCTTGAAAAGGCGATGTTCCTGCGGAATAAGTGATAAACAATTTTCATACGTATGATAAATTGTACCTGGATGAAGACGCTTAAATATCATCCATAGCACCTGTTCTTAAAGATTTAATCCAAAAGCTCGGAATTTACACTTTCTCTTAAGACCATTCTTCGTCATTTATTCTTGACAGGAGAGATTAGAGATTTGGACAAATGGATTTCACAGGAAATCACAGAAAATCGGAAGATGCCTCATTCTACGTATACTTCTCATTTTAATTCTATAAAGACTTAAGCTTCAGTTCTAGACCAAGTCATCAATTGCGACGAAAAATGGAAAATCTCCGATTAACAAAAATGCGTTTTATAAAAGAATCTTTATTTTCGATTAAAATGTTTTTCTTTGTAACAGCTTTTTAAAAATCAACAGAAATATAATGCCTTCTGGGATATGTGGCACTAATGATATACTAACTTCTGTATGAACGTGTAACAGAACAGAAAGAGTGATCATTTCTAAAACGTAGTATTAGATTTTGAGAATGAACGAATGAAATAAAAAGTCTGTTCTCGTTATCGTGTACATAGCCTGATGAAATTAGCGTACAACACAAACATTTTCTCAAGCCAATTTTCTTGAAGGCCTCAAGATTTCAATTACTCTGAAAAAGCACGATTCTTTCAGCATCAAATCATTTATAACAGTTCTATTACTGATGCAAGATTGTTTTAAGCATCTAAAAAACACAAACAAGAAAACAGAAAAACAGAAATTAAACGAAAAAGTATTATTAAATACGTTATTTTATATTAATTTCAAGAATTGTACGAATTCTGCTAGTTTAGTTGAATTGAAATGTGTATTTATTAAACAAAAAACGATTTATGAAACCGGGTAAGTAACTTGAGTATTAATTATTGCGAAAGAATTGGCTACTTGAGTACTTGTTATAATACTAAATTGCCTCAAAAAATAAGCATGTGTGGGTGGTTTAATGGATGCTGGCGCGGATTGGGAAATTCAGAGAGCTATGTTTGAATTCTAGCCAAGTTAGTTGCATTTATTTATGCGCAAATGCTATTAGGAAAGATATGGATCCATTTTATCTATGTTAGACTAATAAGAGAGACTGGGCTCGAAAGCTGTGCTTTGTAAGCAGTCCAATATTTGAACACTTGTGAAATTAAAACATTGAGCATGAAGGCCAGCAATTCCATCCCATAAAATCTTACTACTTGCTATGGAAACCACAGCAACAATTTTTAGCGTGCTAAGAACTGTGGCACCCATATTCCTCAGAGAGTCTATGGGACTTGTGCTTTTGTGTAATTCAAAAGATCACGGAGAATCTATAGTTATTTGAAAATACGCAAATAATTAAATGGAATTCATCTATCAATCGCCACAATTCATCTACATGAAACGGCGACGACTTCAAGTTGGCAGAATTAACCCCGGACAATTTCAAGTGTCTTATTGTTGTACAAGGGTTAGGTCTCTGCAAAGGATATTGAACTCAGACGGAAGAAACAAAAAAAAAGACAAAATTCTCCCTCGTCAACTTGGCGACGAGGACTTCAAACTGTCACGGAAAAAAAATTCTCTCTCGTCGACCACAACAACTTGGCGACGAGGATATCAAACTCACACGGGAAGAAGAAAAAAAAGACAAAATTCTCCCACGTCAACTTGGCGAAGAGGAAATTCGAACTCACACACGAAGAGAACAAAGAAAAATTCTCCCTTGCCGACCACAACTTGGTGACTAGGAATTGGGACCTACACGGAAAGAAGATAATTTCTCTCTTCTCACCACAACAGCCTGGGCGACAATAATTTGCAATTCCCGGAGACTCAAAGGAGAAAATTGCCGTTTTTGCCAGTATTCACAACAACTGGGTAACAAAGAGTTACAAGGATTAAAATACGGAAAATCGAGTTTTTCGTAAGACTCTTATCATGGAGGATTTTAAAAGTATTTTAGTAAAACTTGTAAAATACGAAAATGAACAGCAAATACAACTTCAAGAAAGACAAAATAAACAGCAATTACAATTCCAAGAAAGAATGGAAAAATATTCCTACAAACGCAGAAGGAAAATCATGAAAGACAAATGCAAAATGAAGAAAGACAAATACAACTCCAGGCGCTAATTGTAAAAGTAGCGAACAATACAGAACAACAAAATATTGAAAAAGAGACGAGAGGGTGAAAGTAACAGACAGACAAACAGAACGAACGTAGCGAGCAAGAGTCACTGTGAGCGAGCACGTTGACTCAGTAAGAAGTCATACAGCGATACTTCAATACCAAAGACTGTATAGATATTTTGCTACTAACTCGTATTCCTGGAACTACTAACCTGCTTTACCAGTTTGTATTATTACGCTAATAAATTATTCTCCTATATTAATTCTTGGCGTTTGTTATTTATTGTTACCGGATTTCATCCCGGAATCCACAACAGAAACATTTACCGTTACTTTTACTGCTATTACAAATTTATAATCAGCGGCTTTCTAACACTGAATAATTACAATTTACTAAATATTGGTAACAATATACGCGAGAAACGTAAAGGAAATCAGTCATTTATGTGCCATACGTGATACACACTTAGGCGATCATGTATATTTCGATACATGACTGACGAGGCATATTTTTTTTCACGCAGTAGGTTGGCATTTCTTTCTGCGGTAGACCAGTTGCCATCCAAGGATATAAAAACCGGTCTGTCCTGCTATTTACCCATAGCTGGATGGGGGGAGAAGGAGAGGATTCATACCTTGACCAGGGATATTATTAGCAAGTAAGTCAATGTAATGGATTCGAATGAAATTCGAACTCGGCTCGCCGATTCAAGCCGGGCCACTATCCATTACTCCACCGTGCCACCGTAAATAAAATTTATTATTTTTTGCATAAATTACAGATATCAGTGAAATATATATATATATTTATATATATATATGTATATATATATATATATATAGATAGATAGATAGATAGATGGATAGATAGATAGATAGATATTGTGTGTGTATTTATGCAGCAATTTTTCATTGATGCATGTTTCATTAAATAATATAGTTTTGTCTATTTTAAGTAAGTTTCTTTCATATTGTCTGATAAGCTTAATGACATTAAGTAATAAGTATGGGAAGGCGTTGGTATAAACCAATGGCTTCTGTTATCAATTATAGACATTTAAGAGTATTTGTGGAGATTTCATAGTTTATTTTGTTCAGGTTAGTGTTCAACAGAAGCCATTGGTTTAATACTTCTCGTTTTCACTCTCGCGTGTTCATATGTGACATCACGAGCTGCGATGCGATTTTCGCTTCCGCGTCTCATATACACGAGTTTTTCGTTGTTTTGAAATTTATTATTGTTTTGTCCGTGTATTGTTTGATATATCGAAATGTAATTGTCATCTTTGATAATGGATTATGTAAGCCGAAAGCGTAGATAGGATTAAAGCATGTATCAGTATGTTCATTTCCTTTCGTCTTTCAATGATAATGTTATTAAGCTTGCCAGACGATATGAAAGGACCTTACTTCAAATAAATAGACAAAAGTTGTCTCTATTATTTAATGAAACATGCATCAATATATATATATATATATATATATATATATATATATATATATATATATATATTAGCCTAAACTAGGATTCTAACTGAAATAATAATAAAAAACGAAATAATATTAATATATATATATATATATATATATATTGAACAATAAGAAATATTTTAAAATTAATATCTTCAGGCATACTGGGTTGTATATTAATATTATTTCGTTTTTATTATTATTTCAGTTAGAATCCTCAACTAGTTTAGGCTAACATGGCCATCATCAGGAGAAAAAAATCCTGCTTCCTAGTACCAGTGAACTACAGAAATGAATTATATATATGAAATGTGAATTTATTATTTGTGAATTATAGTAGAAGTGTCAGTTAAAGCCGTAGTGTGTTGGGCATGATTAGAATTCGAGAAGACGAATTGTATTTTAAAAAGACTTTTATCGCTTTGCTCCCATTGTTAAACAAGGTGAGATTATAACGATATTATAACGATATGTTTTCGGTAATTTGACTTACATAGAACTCTCGTGTTTTCGACCAGAATTTTTCTTAACGGTTCTTGTAGATTGTGGGTTAATAGATTTTGATAAATGACATATGAGACGTCTACTGAAGGAGATGCCAGTATGTCCGATATAAGTAATTGATTTATGACAAGAAACACAGTCTCGTAGTTGGCAATGAAATTGATGAACTAAGATCGCTGGAAATCCTAAATAAAGAATTAATAAATTTTTCCTTGGCCGTCAAATTTAACGAAAAGATATATATATACATTATTTCCCTTCTAAGCGATTGGAAGAATTGCTTGACACAGCAATATCACCTACATAAGTTAGATTTGAAAGGAGATGCCTAGAATTAGAAAAGCCAGATTGTAAAAGTCATAAATCCACTTTCCCTGAACTATAAGTTTAAATACCAAATAGAATTGGGTGCAGTCTAGAATAAAGCCTACATTTAATTTAAAATCGTGGTAACGACAACGGGTAGTATCTTCGCCCCCCTTTTCCAAGAAGTGATGTCAATTGACCGATATGAATGAAAAGCTCTCTGTATAAATACACCATTGCCGACGCCAGGAAAGGATATGTAATTAAAATAAATTATTATTGTGGTATCTGTCTATATTTCTGAGGTGAGGTATTATGTACACTATTTACATTATTCGGACTATTGTCCTCATCTTTGTCGCCATATATATTACAATGTTTCAGCCGTTCTACGCTCCGGCCTTCTTCAGGTGGTTGGAATGTCGAACTGAACCCTTTATTTCGGTCACTGGGGTAAAATGTTCTAGTTCCACGTGCCATGTCTAATGGATGTCAATTATCAGTTATCTCCTGTTAATTCTCTTCTCCAAGTTCTCCACCGCCTTCACCAGGTATTAAACTCACACTCTTTGGGTCCTGTCAGTGGATATAACTAACGCCTTTATCCCCTGTGCTATGTGTCCTTGAGACATGGCACGTGGAACTAGAACAGTCTACACCAGTGAACGAAATAAAGGCTCCAGTTCGACATTCCAACCAACTGAAGAAGGCCAGAGCGTACAACGGCCGAAGCGTTGTAATTAATATGACGACAAAGCTGAGGGCATTCGTCTGAATAATGTAAATAGTGTAAATAGTGTAAATTATTATTTTATATAGCAGTTAGTAAACATTTTACTTTTCCACCGTTGATCTGATTTTCTGCTTAGATTCTATAGCAAGCATGTAAATCGGTTATCGCGGCAGAAAACGGAACCAGTGAGACTTGAACAAATTTTTGACCTGTCCGTTGCGTTCACTTTCGAATAAAATACCCTCGGGAGATATTTCTCTCATCCGCCAGATACTGATTAAATGGCAAGGTGGATTAGATTTTTTTAACGTTGGGTGGCAACTAAAATCTAATAGAAGGAAAACTTTGATTTCCAAACCGAGGAGAAGGCACCGAGAAAACACTCCAGTGTATTTCCTAATTCTCAGATAATAGAAAAACATCGGCTAAGAATAATGTTCACCTATTTTACGAAAGGACATGACATTAATATTAAAAAAAATGATCATTGCTAGAGTAAACGTAAACGCCATAATACAGTGATCCCTCGTTTATCGCGGTAGATTGGTTTCCGCGAAGTAGGGACGCCATATTTACAGTATTTATTTAACGTGTATTTGGACTTTTAAAACCCTCCCTGTTCTGTTAACAACCCACCCATTACAGTACTCTATTAATAACAATGACAACTGTTAAGCAATAACACTTTAGATTCAAAAAAATAAAGATTGTTACTGTATTCAACACGAAAGAATTTGAAGTAGAATTTGACTGATGATGGTGATGAATTTGCTGCACAGTAGAAATGATGATGATGATGAAACTGATGATGACTTCTACTGTGCAGTCGATAATTGTATTTTACGTCTCTTCAGACGGCAGTGCTTTTTCTTTTAGTATTTTACGCTTGTTCCTAGACCGGAAAATGATATTTATTATTCATATTTTAATGGGTTTAATGAAAAAATTTAGGTGTTCATATATCGCGATTATTCTAGTATTTTCCAGAAACTCCGCAATATATTTTCCATATATATATTTTAAAAATCCGCGAAGCCTTGAATTCGAGATAGTAGAACCACGAATTAGCGAGGGATCACTGTATTAAGTTACGTGTTGGAGGAGAAATTACTTTGCTCTGCAAGTTAGTAATATTTTCCTAACAACACTCTGGTTAAATCTGTTATTTTTACTGTGTTATGGCAACAAACATGTACATCTACATAGATAAATAGGATCATCATTATATAGTCGACAAATTTGTCACAGATGAAGAAACTTGAAGTAGCAGAGATATTGTCCCATAAAGCAATATAAAAATGCCCCAGACAGAAAATGTGACGATTAAGGAAGTTTTAATGGAAAAAAGGAATGAAAAGGAAATTTCTACGTACAACCACAAAGAGACAGGGGAAGTCTCTGGGATCTATAACAAGAGGGCTTGGAGACTTTAACACTCACTGGACATATAGAAGTCAAACTGTTTTTAAAAAAGAATTTGTATAAATCGAGTGCAGAAAAGAAAGCGGAATGATCGAAAGTCAAAGGTTACCTAGAGCCCACACTGAAAGGGCATGATTCGTAAAAGAATAATATGAATCAATTAAAACTGACTGCAGTGGTAGATCATAGAGTCATTTTAAACTCCACGATCATTTCATTCGGTTTATGTGGTTTCTCCAGAGCTAAATCCAGTTCTGAATTATCATCCCCCTAGACTGGTTAAAGCACATGGCTGAAGAGCCAAGTCTTCCGTACTATTTAAACCATTGATGGGTGGGGGGACTCATAAAGAGATGGACTCATACCTTTCTCAAGGAATTTATGCATAAGTGAATGTAATGATCTCGGTTGAAATTCGAACACGACTCCCCGATTTTTCATTCCAAGCCGCTATTCTTTACACCACCCACCCATCCAGTTATTTATATATTAATAGAATCATAATTTATTAGTAAGAATGTTACAACTATAAGTGATTATCCTGGATGATATATGTAAACGAATGTTTTAGGTTTCCACGTAGGTGTTACGCATAAGATTATTTATAGCTACTTGCATTAAAACAACCGCTTCTTTTTACATCGACATTTTCAAACATGCTACTATTTTACAGAACAAGCTAAACTTAAATCTCCGAGATATTGTCGTCTGTTAAATAGGAGACGGCCAACATGTGTCTACCGTTTAAAGACTAAATAGAAATACACGAACTCGTTTACTTTGATTATTTTCTTCCTTCCCTTCGATTCTATTATTCCTTTTTACTTCCTCCTTTTTCTCTACTTCTGCTTCTATTCAAGTGCCTGCTTTTTCTTTTTTCTTTCTTTGTCTAGATCTTTCCCAATCTCTTTTACGCTTGCGTCTACATTTATTCACGTTATTACTTTCCACCTTCTTCCATCGCTATCCCTTTTTCTAACTCCATTCACTTTCATTCTTTTATTTTTTTTGTCACTTCTTCACTATCTGTCCTCACTTCTTCTTCATTCTCCCTTTGTCTATATTCTTTCACTTTCCTTCTTCCTTTCTTGTCTTTGCCTCGATCTTTCCAACTCTCTTTCTTGCTTACCTCTACAGACATTGACGTTCTTACTTTCCTTTATTCTCTCCTTCGCCATCGTTCCTCTTTTTCTCCTTCTCGCTATTTCTGCTTTCACTCTCGTTCTTTTCTTTTCTTCTTTGCTTTGCGATCCCCATATTCCCATTTCTTGTTCTTTTTTACCTATTTTCACTCAGTTTCAGTTTTCAACTTTCGACTTCGCTCGTTCCTTATCATTCTTTCTATCTTCATTTTTATTTTTCACTTCTTCGCTATCTACCCGGCCCTCTTCCTCATTTTCCCTTTGTCTTTCATGCTCCTTCTTTCTTTGTTTCTATCTTCCCCCTCTCTTTACTCCTCTCAATTTCTCTATATTCATTCGCTTTCCTCATTAACTTCTTCGTCATAATTTCTTTCTCTTCTCTTCTCCCTTTTTGCTTTTCTTTCTTAATTCCTGTTTTATCATTTCTTTCTTCTCTTCTTTGCTATCTATCCGCCCCTATTTCTCATTTTCCTTTTGTCTTCTTTAATGTTCCTTATTTCTTTCTTCTCGTTGTCTCCCTCTTCCCTCCTCTCTTTAATCGTCTCACTTTCTTCATATTCATTCGCTTTCCTCATTCACTTCTTCGTCACCATCTTTCCTCTTCTTTTCCTTCTTTTTGCTTTTCTTCCTTAATTCCTGTTTTATCATTTCTTTCTTCTCTTCTTTGCTATCCGCCCTTCTTTCTCATATTCCCTTTGTCTGTCTCCTTTCACCTTCCTTCTTTCTTTCATCTATTTGTTTCCCGCTTCTCCCTCTATTTACTCCTCTCACTTTCTCTATATTCATTCGCTTTCCTTATTCTTCTTCACCATCTCTCCTCTTATATTCCTCCATTTTGCTCTATTTTCTTTCCTTCCTCTTTTATCATTCCTTTCTTCTCTTCTTCGCTATCCTCCCCATATATTCTACCTTTTTGCTCTTCATTCCCCCCTCACTTCTTTTGTTCTTCTCATTCTTTCTCTGTTCTCATTCTCTTCCTTTTCCTTTCTCCGTAACCGTCCAAATATTTATTCATTGATTGCTTCGGTTAATTATTTAATTAATTCAATTTTAAATTTCCAATTAACCTTTACGCATTAACTCTGTTTGACGAGATTAGGATAAACCAAACTATAGCATATAAGTCGCTTTTTAAATTTTAATGCCGGCTTCATAGAAATAATCGAATCCCGTTTGTTGTTATCTCATATGTTGATAAAGAAATTATGACTCCTTCTCTCGAAGTAACCAAAAAATGGTGCGAGTCTCTCTCTATTTGTGTTATTTATACTAATAATTTTCATCCTATACAAATCCTAAGAGTCACTCAAGGTAGAGTATTAATGCGTGGCATCATATGAACATAAAATAGGTAAGAAGTGCTGTCGGAAAGATAATTGTTAACCCATGACTAGAAAAAGCCAGGTTTATAGTGATTGTGAAAACATTCTGCTGTGAGACTGTTTCACAAACGAGTAGCTCTTGGAAGAAGCTGTATTAAATCAATTTTTAAAATAATTTTTTAAGGCCACATTGTAATTTTTAACTCTGGCTTCACAAAATAGTTGTCTCTCTTTTTATCTCATACGTTGTCAAAGAAAATATGAAACCTTTTCTGCAAGTAAACAAAATGATGCGCGTCTCATTGTTTTTTAATACTTAATGGACATCCAATATAAGGCGCAAGAGCCGCTCAAGATAGATGGTCAGCACGTAGTGTTATATGACCGTAAAAAAAGGCAAGATTACAGTTCGGCAAGAAATTAATTTTGAAAGATAATGGTTGACTTTAGATTTGAATAGGTCAAGTTTGAGAAAACATACTCTCGTTAGATTGATCTACAAAGCAGACGTTCTTGGAAAGAAGCTGTACTTGAATCATATGGAGAATTTTAAAAATATTTTTGTTAGATAAAAGGAGTATGTTTATTCAGATTTTCGCAAAGCGATCTTTCGCGGAAAATGGCAGGAATCTTTGGAGTATCTTTGAATTTTATTTTGCCCTTTATTGCGTGTTCTGTCAGTAAACTCTAATATGTTCCATCTGAATTTCTGGGGTGAGGAGATATCATTATTCCTATCATTTATAAAGGGAGTATTTTCTCCATCTAAGTTGTTGTGATAATAACGTTTCGGACTCCGGCAAACATCAAATCTGGGGAAACTTCAGAAAATTCCGAATAGAACACTTCATTTAATCTACAGGAATAAATTTTTCTATTTCTATTGTCCATGTACCAGGAAATCTCTTCTAGTTATTATTTAGTAGTGCTCACCCACTCCGTTTCCGCTGAGTTCAAGTACACATTGCCCAGTCCAGAGATTGAAATCGCAATTGTTATGACAACCAGTTCGTGAATCAATGCATTAATTTCCTAGGAACAGTTCGAAAATCCCTACCCGGATTGATAAGCACCCGATGAATACATGAGAAAACTGTTACAATTTTTGGATACTTTATGTAACTAGTGAGCTAGCCCAAATGATTTGACTTACTTTATAGTCCACCAATAGAAGGTTAACCAATCAGAAGACGTAGAATATTCAATCCGTCGTGTAAAGGCGAACATTTTGTTTACTCTATCCGAATGTCCAGTGCCAGTTTGTCAGGCGAAGAGGAACAGAAGGAAGAACTACGCTCTGCTACTTTTACCAAAATCTACACTGCTAACCTGAACAACGCTTCCATACTGTCTTCGAAATATCCACTGCTAACCTCTGGATTCTATATTCAAAGACGACCGTCATCATGAACAACAAACACAGAGGTTGTTTTTACAAGACTTAGGAAATTTTCTAAAAGTTGAGTAACGGGTCTCAGATCATCTTAACGCAGCAGATATCAAGTTTGAATACTTGAATTTCGCTTCTTGTCTGATCCGGAAAAGTATATCACTAACGCGGATGAAATCCGTATTTATTATATATGTTGGAATTTAAGATTATGTTGTTTATATCCAGAAAAATCTTTCAATCTAAACGAAATTAGAGGTCAAAATAATTATTTGTAGCGTTTATTATTATAAACATCACTGTACCAAGTTGAAGTATTAAGACATTTTATCAGGTAATGGATATCAGAACATCAAAGATTATTTATCTGTATAAGCAATTGAACAACTGTTTTATCTTATTAGGAAAATGTCCGTCCCGATTTTGGAAATGATCAAGGAATAGAAAGTGTTCATGTATGTATTATATTCTTCTTGCTCTATTAATTATTCTTTGTTTCATTCATTCATTCAATCAACGACACATGACAGACGAGGCAGATTTTTTTCCGCAGTAGACCTTTCTTTCAGCGATAGACCAGTCACCATCCAAGACTATAGAACCCGGGCTTTCCTGCTATTTACCCATTGCTGGGAGGTGGGTATCAGCACATAAGTGAATGTAATGGATTCAAATAGAATTCGAACTCGGATCTCCGATTCTTCAATCCGAGCCGCTATCCATTACTCCATCCTGCCTTGTTTCATTAGCAATTCCAAAAATGTCAAAATACCGAATGATTCCTAAAATAATTAAACAGCGGAATATATAATTTAATAAGGAAATTCAAATTGAATGGAAATAGGCATAAAAATACTTAGAAATAAAAGATTTGGCAAAAAATGTTAAATATTAAAATGTATAGCTGCCCATCGTATTCGAGATACTCGACTACAAGGGTGGATAGCCAATCCCTATTGCATACACTTGCTCAGGCACATTTAGTGTTTTTTCAACACCCACAGAGTCTAATTGTGGTTTATACTGCAACTATGCTGAGCAGGTATTAGTTACTCTTTCTGGGAAAGTGCGTGCTATCTAGCGTGATCAATAATATGAACAAGGCCAGCACATAAAAACCATCGGCCACAATGACTTATAACTTCGTGCTAGCACAGCTATTGACGGCCTCTAGGAGCATCGTCTACTCAATTTCATTCAAACCCGTAGTATGGTTTTCAGGCACTTTCCAAGAGTGCCGCAAGCTGGGATCGACCCCTCCAGATAGCATCAGGAAATTTTTCTTCCTGACAAATTGACCAGGGTGAGATTCGAACCCGGGTCTCATGGTCAGAATGCAAATATTCTAATCACCCCGTCCATTAGATATTAAAATGATATTAGTAATAATGTGTGATCTGTATACTAAACTAATATACACAATTAAACATCATAGATTTAAAAAAAAATGCTGTCAGCAAACATAATCGGATAACTTGATATCTCTTGAGGCTTCATGTTGAAAATTGGAGGCAGATCATAAAACTAACAATTACATTCAAAACACGATAATAATAATAATAAGAAGAAGAAGAAGAAGAAGAAGAAGAGTTACCCTGTCAATTGATCTTAAAATTTAGGGAAGAGGTGTAAGATTTCATAATGGATTCACCTAAAAGTAAATGCTTACAGACTCCAATATAAACGACTAATATTTACCTATTCACGAATCATGTAAATGCTTATAAACTCATATATAAACGACCCGTATTTACCTATTACAGAATCACTCGCCTATAAATTCCAATATAAACGACCAATATTTCTGTTTGGCTTGAGATTAACTTTCTCTGCTTCCCCTCTTTACAGTTATCGGATTACAGTGTCTTGACGATAATCACAGGCAGCAAGATATTGATTTACCGCCGCCTGATAATAAACACAGGCCGCGTGAAATTTAAAAGTCTCTTCCTCTTTTCTTTTTGTCCTTGGCAGTGACAAGACTTTTCTCTTCTCCTTCTGCCGGCATCACGTACTGAAAGTTGCTTTGAAATATTCACAACTTTAATTTCTCATTTTCCTTTTTGTAATATGTCCGTTTAATATTATATATTAATACTTGTTTGTTTAAAAGCATTTTTTTGTTTTTGTTTTTGCTCGGACTCACATGAAATTATCAGTATTGTTTGCTGGAATAATGCACCAGAAGCCATAAATTTACTGAAGAAACATCCACACCTCACAACAAATGGAGTAATTCCGGCAACATAGTTGAAGGTTTATGTGATGCTATTCTAAGCTTCTCTTAGAAAAGCATCATGGCTTTCATATGTGGTCGACACAGGGCAGCAGAATGGCATTTTCAGTAAGGTATTTCCAAAAAAATAACAGGAAAACACATGTTTAGGAATATATAGTTTGTCCCCAAAAATTTGACATCATTTTGCAGGCCAATAATTTTCGATAATTCTTGTTGAAATAACCTGAAATTTTCACAGGATGTATAGAGACGGAGCAAGATTTTATTTTTAATGTTTTGTTTTTGTTCTGCATTCAGACTGAGCCATGACGTTCACTCCCCCACAAAAGTCATTTTGCGTTTTGGTATTTGCGCGCACACAATCACCCAAGGCTATGCAGAGTGCCTTCAATGTAAAATTTGGAAAAACTTCACCAATTGGCAAACAAATTTGGACTTGGTATCAAAAATTTGAGGAGGAAAGCTGCTTATGCAGGCCTAAAGGATCCGTTAGACCATCATCAACATCAGCGGGTTTGGCAAGAGCTTAACTACTGACTTGACGTGTGCCGTCTCACGGGCGACGCACATATTGAACGCTGATAAAATCAATCCCATAATAAACGTATGATGTTCAATACTTAAGATGTTCAATTTCATTGAGGTAGACTTAGTAGTTTTAAAGATAATTGCTTCTAAAATGATCTCGAAATTTTGGGACACTCTGTACATAGTTACACGATTACCTTGACTACGTTTAGTATATATGCACATATCAATATATACACTTATAGGTTAAATATCTGAGGTCATTTTCTGGATATAATAATGAGTAGATGTCATACCTTCTTTGGTTTAATTAATATCTACTAACTTAGAAAGCTGAGTATATTTATTGGTGCATTACGTTCACTTTTTTATGGAAGGACTTACCTAATATGCAAAATTCACCAAGACAATGATTATTATTAGCCAACAAAGTAGGCAAACATCTGAAATAATTGTTTAATTTCTTCTTCTTCTTTATTATTATTATTATTATTATTATTATTATTGGATATATCA